ATCATCTCAATAGATGCAGAAAAAGCATTAGACAAAGTACAGCATTCCTTTATGTTCAAAACATTAGAAAAACTAGGGATAACAGGAACTTACCTCAACATTGTAAAAGCTATCTATGCTAAGCCTCAGGCTAGCATCATTCTGAATAGAGAAAAATTGAAGGCATTCCCTCTAAAATCTGGAACAAGACAGGGATGCCCTCTATCACCACTTCTATTCAATATAGTTCTCGAAACACTAGCCAGAGCAATTAGACAGACGAAAGAAATTAAAGGCATAAAAATAGGAAAAGAAGAACTTAAATTATCACTATTTGCGGTGACATGATTCTATACCTAGCAGACCCAAAAGGGTCTACAAAGAAACTACTAGAAAAAATAAATGAATTCAGAGAAGTGTCAGGATATAAAATCAATATGCATAAATCAAAGGTATTTCTGTATATCAGTGACAAAACTTCTGAAATAGAAATGAGGAAAAACACCCCATTCACAATATCCTCAAAAAAAAAAACCACAAAATACTTGGGAATCAACCTAACAAAAGAGGTGAAAGATTTATACAATGAAAACTACAGAGCCCTAAAGAGAGAAATAGAATAAGATCTTAGAAGATGGAAAAATATACCCTGTTCATGAATAGGTAGAACTAACATCATCAAAATGGCGATATTACCAAAAGTTCTCTATAGGTATAATGCAATGCCAATCAAAATCCCAATGGTATTTCTTGTAGAAATAGAGAAAGCAATCATGAAATTCATATGGAAAAATAAAAGACCCAGAATAGCAAAAGTAACTCTAAGCAGGAAGTGTGAATCAGGCGGCATAGCGATACCATATTTCAAACTATACTACAGAGCAATAGAAACACAAACAGCATGGTACTGGTACCAAAACAGGTGGGTGGACCAATGGTACAGAATAGAGGACACAGAGACTAATCCACAAAGTTATAACTATCTTATATTTGATAAAGGGGATAAAAGCATGCAATGGAGGAAGGATAGCATCTTCAACAAATGGTGCTGGGAAAACTGGAAATCCATATGCAACAAAATGAAACTGAATCCCCTTCTCTCGCCACATACAAAAGTTAACTCAAAAATGGACCAAGGAGCTTGATATCAAATCAGAGATCTGCATCTGATAGAATAAAAAGTTGGCTCTGATCTACGGATTGTGGGGTTGGGCTCCAAATTCCTTAATAGGACACCCATAGCACAAGAGTTAATAACAAGAATCACCAAATGGGACTTACTTAAACTAAAAAGTTTTTTTTCCCAGCAAGAGAAACAATAAGAGAGGTAAATAGGAAGCCTACATCCTGGGAACAAATTTTTACTCCTCACACTTCAGATAGAGCCCTAATATCAGGAGTATACAAAGAACTCAAAAAATTAAACAATAAGAAAACAAATAACCCAATCAACAAATGGGCCAAGGGCCTGAACAGGCACTTCTCAGAGGAGGACATACAATCAATCAACAAGTACATGAAAAAATGCTCACCATCTCTAGCAGTCAGAGAAATGCAAATCAAAACCACCCTAAGATACCATCTCACTCCAGAAAGATTGGCAGCCATTATGAAGTCAAACAACAACAAGTGCTGGTGAGGATGTGGGGAAAAGGGTACACTTGTACATTGCTGGTGGGGCTGCAAATTGGTGTGGCCAATTTGGAAAGCAGTATGGAGATTCCTTGGAAAGCTGGGAATGGAACCACCATTTGACTCAGCTATTCCCCTTCTTGGACTATTCCCTAAAGACCTTAAAAGAGTGTACTATAGGGATACTGCTACATCGATGTTCATAGCAGCACAATTCACAATAGCTGGACTGTGGAACCAACCTAGATGCCCTTCAATAGATGAATGGATAAAAAATGTGGCATTTATACAAAATGGAGTATTACTCTGCACTAAAAAAATGACAAAATCATGGAATTTGCAGGGAAATGGATGGCACTAAAGCAGATTATGCTAAGTGAAGCTAGCCAGTCTCTAAAAAACAAATGCCAAATGTCATCTTTGATACAAGGAGAGCAACTAAGAATAGAATAGGGAGGAAGAGCATGAGAAGAAGATCACCATTAAATGGGGATGAGAGGGGGGAGGGAAAGAGAGAGAGAAGCAAAATTGCATGGTAAAGGAAGGAGACTCTCATTGTTATACAAAATTACATATAAGAGGAATTGAGGGGAAAGGGGAAAAACAAGAGAGAGAAATGAATTACAGTAGATGTGGTAGAGAGAGAAGATGGGATGGGAGGGGAGGGGAGGGGAGGGGAGGGGGGATAGTAGAGGATACGAAGGGCAGCAGAATACAACAGACACTAGTATGGCAGTATGTAAAAAAGTGGATGTGTAACCGATGTGAATCTGCAATATGTATACTGAGTAAAAATGGGAGTTCATAATCTGCTTGAATCAAATGTATGAAATATGATATGTCAAGAGCTTTGTAATGTTTTGAACAACTAATAAAAAAAGTGCCAAAATCAAACATTGGCGAAAAGACAGACTTTTTAACAAATGGTGCTGAGACAACTGGTTATCCATATGTAGAAGAATGAAACTAGACCCTTAACTTTCACCCTGCACAAAAAAATCAACTCAAAATGGATCAAAGATCTAAGAATTATATCAGAAACTATGCAACTCCTGGAAGAAAACATAAGGTCAACAATCTAATACATAGACAAAGGCAAGAACTTTCTCAGTAGAATCCTTAAAGCTCATGTAATAATGCCAAGAGTTAAAAATTGGATGGCATCAAATTTAAAAATTCTGTACATAAAAGGAAAGAATTAGAAATGTGAAGCAAAACCCTACAGAATAGAAGAAAATCTTTACTAGCTACTTTTTTGAGAGAGGATTCATATTTAGAATATATAAAGGACTCAGAAAACTGTACACCAAAAAAATCAAATAACCCAACTAGTAAATGAGAAAATGAAGTAAGCAGACAATTCTCAAAATAAATACAAATGGCCAACAAATAAATGAAAAAAAAGTTCAACATCATTAGCAATTACAAAATGCAAATCAAAGCTACACTGAGATTTCATTTCACATCAGTCAGAATGGCAGTCATTGAGAATACAAATAATGATAAAAGTTGGAGAGAACATGGAGAAAAAGGAACACTTTTACACTGTTTGTGGGACCATAAATTAGTATAATTGCTATGGAAATCAGTATGGAGGCTCCTCAAAGAGTAAGAATGGAATCACTATATGATCCAACTATACCACTCCTCAGTATTTATCCTGCAGGAAGAATTAGCCATCTTCCTACAGAGACATATGTATACCCAGGGTTACAGCAACACAATAGCCAAACTATGAAACCAGCCTAGGTGTCCATTAATGGATGAATGGATAAAGAAAATGTGATATATATATATATATATATATATATATATATATATATATATATATACATACATACACAATGGAGCTTTATTCAACCATAAAAAAATGAAATTGAGTCAACCACCAGAAAATGGATGGAACTAGAGACCACTACATTAAGCAAAATAAGTCAAATTCAGAAGGTTGAAGGTTTTACATCTTCTCTTATATGCAGAAGCTATAAAGGCAAAAAGAAAAAAATGGGGTGGATCTCATGGAAATTATAGAGAGATCAATAGAGGAAAGGGACCAACGGTTTGGAGGAGTAAAGCACTGGGGAGTGCTATTGGCCAAATTATATCGTTATATTGTGTGCATGTACGAATATTAACAACAAATTCCATCAGTATATACAAATATAATGCACCAATTAAAAATGTGAGAAAAAAGAAGTCATTCCTATGTATCATTGATGTGGAAACTAAAAAGAAAAAAGATGATCTGAAAGCAGAAGATGAACTATTACAGACTAGGAAGTGGGCCAGGGGAGCAGAAACAGGAAAGGGAGGGAATTAAAGAAATGGATGGACATGATTAATACACAATATATATCTGTATGGAAATATCATAGTACATCTCAATAGGTTTAATGATAAATATGTTAATAATTATAATTTTAAAAAACTAAGACAGCACCACATTAATAAATAAAATAAAGGTATTGTATCCATCAAAAAAAAAAAAAACTTTTTGGGAACAGCTCACATTTGTTCACATCTAAACCATAATGGACATATACATGTAAATTCAGGTATCTAGTTGTACACGTACATTTGGGTCATAGAAGAGTTCCAGGTTATGAATATCTTGAAATTTTCTATCACACAAATATTTATTTAGTTAGAGGAGTGAGGATAGGAAAAAAATCAATACAGCACAGTGATACAAAGTAGTTTAAACCTGCCTAAAGCAATAACACACCATGTGCACCATTTTACATCACTGTAACTGAACAGGTCTCAGGTGATCAGGCAAGTTTTCCAGTCCTGACATGTTTCTTCTTCAGATTTCAAATACATACAAATTTATTTATTATGTACAGTTCAGTATCCATCTATACTTTTCTTCATTTTACTCGAGGATACTGTCTTGTCATTCTTCTCATCTACAATGTCTTTATTGGTTTGGGCAAAGACCCTTTTCCTTGTGTATTCCCATTCATATTCATGAATTCCCATTAATCTCCATTCCCATCCATCATGACAGAGAAATGTCTCATGTGTTTACTATTTCTCTTTCTACATGATATGAAATATGTAATGTTTTGAGTATGATAGTTTTCAAGTCTATATAAGATGTATCTTTTTTGTCTAATCTCTTTATTACTTTTCTTGATATGGTTCCACATGGCATCAAAGTCCTCTACCATGTGCTTTGCTGCACATTCTGGCATCACTCTCAGATTAGCAGGGATGCTTACATCTGTGATTTTTGTTGTTGACTAGTATTGTGATTCTGCTAGATCACAGTACAATGTCCTACTTGTTAAACATTTTACCCTAAATCTCAAGTTATTTTATCTTTTCTTGTTTTCCACATATTGTTTTTGTTCTGAAATAAGCTTACCTGTTCTGATCTTCCTTAGGTTTGGGCGGAAGGTGGTGTACCTGTGGTGCTTACTCCAGCTGGGCATCGTTGACACCGCTGCAGCCTTTGCCCCCACCTTCCTCATTTACTGCATATTACGCTTCTGGGCTGGGTTGAGTGTCGCGACTATTATGATAAATTCTTTTTGTCTTAGTAAGTCAATAATTTGAAACTTTCATTTTCTCCATGCCTGAATTGACTGTGAAATTACCCTTTGCCTGGAATGACAATTATGTACATATTTTCTTCCAGTGTCGGAATGGACAACATCCCAAAGGAAGTCTGTGGGAATAGTCCTGATGATGTCTTCCTACAATATTGGGCAAATGTTCCTCGGAGGACTGGCTTTTGCCATTGGAAGCTGGTACACACTGCACCTGGCTGTGTCTATACCCTTGCTTGTCCTCCTCTATCCCTCCAGGTATGAACAATCTCCAAATTATTTACAAGAGAGGCCAAGGTGATAACAGAAGAGCTATGTCACTGGGTATGTTTTTGGTCCCAATACTGGTCCCCATTAACACCCTTTGTGCCATCCAAGGTGAGGAAATAGGATGGCAATTTAAGTGGAGGTTGGCACTATATGTCACCATTTTTGTATAATAGACAGAAAATTGTCATGAAATAATTGTAATAGAAAAAAGTCACAGCTGGGGATGTGGCTCAAGTGGTAGCATGCTCGCCTAGCATGTGTGAGGCACTGGGTTCAATTCTCAACACCACATAAAAATAAAATAAAGATATTGTGTCCACCTAAAACTAAAAACTAAATATTTAAAAAATCAAACATTTATTATACTTTTATGAGGGCAGTATAATAATACATAATAGTGAGGATCATTGTGACATACTCATAAATGCATATACTATAATTTCCTATATCTCATTTTCCCTTACCTCCCTTTTGCCTGCCCTCTCACTTCCTCTGATTGTCTTCCTTATGGTCTCTCTTCTACATATTTATTTTCTTAATTGGTGCACAATGATCATATATAAACATGGAATTCATTGTGATTTGTTTATATATGCACATAGCACAGTTTGGTTAATTTCAATGCCAGCACCTCTCCTTGGCATCCTTTCCTCCCTCATCCTTTTCTGCCTTTCTCTGCTATACTGTTCTCCCTTCTAGTCTCATGAGCTCCTTTTATTTTATCCATTTTTTCCTCTCTACATTCCACATATGAAAGAAAATATTCAATCTTTGACTTTCTGAGTCTGGCTTATTTCACTTAGCATTATGCTTTCCAGTTCCATTTATTTACCAGCAAATAACATAATTTCATTCTTCTTTATGGCTGAATAAAAGTCTATGTGTGTATATACCATATTTTCTTTATCTGTTCATCTGTTGATTGACACTAACAATGGTTTTATAACTTGGCTATTGTGAATTGCACTCTTACAAACATTTAAATTCGTGTATCACTAGAGTATACAGATTTGGGGGTTTTGGCATAAATTTCCTAAGTCTGGAACTGCTGAGTCATGTGGTGGTTCCATTTCTAGTTTTTCGAGAAATCTCCATACTGCTTTCCAAAGTGATTTTTACCAATTTGCAGTCCTACCAATGATGAATGTTATTTTATTCAGTTTTTTCCCCACTGTTATTTAAAGACCAACCAGAACAATTGTAGAGGAGGAAAAGTTTATTTGAGTGCTTGGTTTCATAGGCCTTATTCCATAGAAGGCCAGCCTCGCAGCTCATGGTTTGAACATGAGATGTGTATCTATTGATTTTAAATTTTTGTTCTCTTTTTTCCTTCAGCAATTTTTTTGCAGTTTTTATTTTATAAGTCCTTGGTTAACTTTTTAACAATTTATTCTGATTGTTGACATTATAAATGGAATTATTTTATAATTATCTCTTCATGTTCTTCATTATTAGTGTATATGTATTGTGCTATTTGGCTGCATTTTCTATTCATTAGCTAACATATCTTTTTTTTTTCTGGAATCTTCAGGATTTTTCACATGGAAGACCATACCATCTGCAAACAGATAGTTTTACTTTCTCCTTTTTTTAAATATAGATGTCTTTTATTTCTTTTTCTTGCCTAATTAATCCACCTATAACTCTCAGTACTATGTTGAAAATAAGTGGTGAAAGTGGGCATGCTTGCCTTGTTTCTGATCTCTGAGAAATATCTTTTAGTCTTTCACCATTAAGTATAATGGTCACTGACTTGGGTCCTACAAAAACATTATAATGTGTGAATTATAGATAAAAATTATATATAAAAAATTGAAATGGAAATGGATGATTTATACCTTTTGATCCTTGTTTACTGATCTCTATAATTATTTTCACACATTAATGGCCAGATATGTCCCTCATCTTAGTGAAAGACAAGTCCAGTGGAAAAGGAAGATTTGGTTAGAAATTACACTGCTACAATAATAAAGTAATAATAAATGGAAAGGCAAATGAATCTCAAGGTTGTGTGAAAATTAAGTAGTTGAATATTTACTGTACCTTCCTTATCTTCTTTAATCAGGAAGCTGGTGGAGTCCTTCCGGTGGCTGATTGTCAGAAATCAGCTAGAAAAGGGTGTAAAGGAACTTAGAAGAGTTGCACACATAAATGGAAAAAAGAATACTGAAGAGACCCTGACCATAGAGGTGATCTGGAAGGGGGACCTGGGATGAAATGAAATGACCTCATAATCATGTTAGGCTATGTTCCTGGGCCTCTGGGGTGACTAAAGGGCCTGAATGAGAATGCTGAATGAGCTCTTACATCTCTGTCCTGGTTCTCCATGGATTCACTGTAGAGAGAAGACAATGAAAAAATATATCAAGTATTTGGACATAGATATTGCAATTCATTGATGGAAATACACTAATTGTATACTACTTCATTGCTCACTATTTAAGTAAATCATGATCCCTTTTAAGCAAAATCATAAAGCCAGTAAGACAAAGAGTAATTGAGCATGCAAAAGATAGCATTAAAATTATTTTAATTCCATCCATTTACTTAGCAATTCAACAAATATTTATTGTGCAACAAACGAGTCATATACTCTTCTACACAATATAAACATGACAGTAAAATATGTTCTGCCAAGTGTCAAGTGCTGGCTTCATTAAATAAGGTTCAATTCATGAGAAAATGCTAGGGAGTTTTAAATTAAAGAGACAAGACTCTAATTACCTTTAAAACCAGCTCCAGGATGGCTCTTCCTAGCTCCAGCCTCCAACCACCTAATGTGGTAGCAAGGTTTACTGAAGAGGCTAGCAAGAGAGAAAGAACATGCCAGGGAGTGGACTTTTATTGGGGAACAAAAATTCCAGGGGAAATTCCATCCAATAAAGGTTAAGGGGGTCAGCATCCCAAAGTCAGGGACGATGATTGGGTTTTCGGGGCAGTGGCCAGACACGCCTCTGCACGGACAAGCCCTTGGACCTGGAGAAGGGTGGGGAAAGCTCTTACACACCTGTGTCTAAGCACCTTTCACCCAGCCAGGGAGGTAACTCAAATCACATGTGAGGATGGCCTCCCCCATATTTCCCCTTTTTTCTTTTAAAAAGCAAGCGATGATTTACTCTCTCGAGTCTCTGCACTCTTGCTCTGAAGACTCGCCATCCTATAATTACAACACAAAAAATAATTAACAGCAAAGAGAACAATCTAATAATGTACCAGGCTGAGTGTTTAAGAATATTTCCAGGGTTAAATCCATTTAATTCCTTTAATATTTAATTAGCTAAAGACGAAGGATCCGAAAAATCAGCTCTATTATTTTGAATATCTTGGATATGATGATGGAGTTCCAAAAGATCCAAGATATTATTATTATTTTGCCAAATACCCAACAAATGGTTCTTAACCTTCTCCCAATCCCAGAGAGAAGCATTGTACTTGGCAGTTGTAACACACACACAACTTGCATGGCATTTAAGCCTTCTTTAAACTTTAAAGCTGAAAGTTCATTACCTATAGTTATAACAGTCACCTCTAAGGTGTTTAACTTAGTCTCAATCCTTTCATCAATATTTACTTGATTGCACAGAGCCTTGGAAGTATTTTGGGATAAATTATTAAGAGATTTTTCATGTTGAATATTTTGAGATAAAGTTATCAAAGCTGTGATGGTGGATGCAATGAAAGAAACTAAGGCCATAACTCCCACAATTATAATTAGAATGGCATGTCTAGGTATTACTAGCTGGGTATGAATTTGCTGTAAGACTTGAAAACCAGCATCAACATACCATGGCTCTGAAATATTAGCAGGCAATAAAACAAAAGAGGGCTGATGAAGTACCAGCACTCCTTTTCTTCTATTATATCTAGTAATACAATTTGTTAGGTTACATTTGTTACATGTTACAACATATCTGTCATCTATCCATTTAACTTTTACATTTCCAATTATTAAAATGTAAAGACATTGGACACAAGCTCATAAGCCATAGCAAGATCCTTCCTTACAGCTCTTGCCAACAAATTTTGGTAAAGGCTTGTCTGTAAAATATAAGAATTTCGAGGCAACAATTAAGGGCCAAACATCTTTTTGAATACCACCCTCACTGTAAGTCAAAATATTGCTAACAAATCCTGCAGATGTCATAGCAGAACTTTTTTATAATTGTCTTTTATCAATTTTTGGAGACCAGTCTAAAATATAACCACTATCTTTAGACACCTTAGGTTGTACTGGAAAACTGATCTTATGGGAAGATGTGGATACTTGAAAAGTATTTACACAATCTATCCATCTAGGAAAGGTGCCAATCTCAATTGTAGAACTATTAGGACAATGAGGTATTCATGGAGATTTTGCAGAAATGACTGGTTTGTTATAGGAAAGTCCCATTTTGATCACTGATCTAGTGTAATGTTTTAAGTCTCCATAAATGGTATGATTAATCAGTCTAGGTTTCCCAAGTGCTGTCTTTTCCTCAAATGATACTCTCAGATAGCCAGCATGTTTATCAGAGGACCAACACAAAGGCAATTGGGCATTGTAGCCAGAATAATTAAATCTAGTCACATGATTGGGAGTAATATGAGTATCTGTAATTCCTCCCATCATGAATGAGCCATTAGTAATCACTGGAATAGATTCTCCAGTCCACACAGCTGGATGTACCAGGGGTGGATCTGGCAAATATGTCCAGTAAGTGTCTTCTCAACTCCCTTTTACCTGATAGCCCAGCAGGGCAATCACTGTAGCTACCATCATCAATGGGGTCTTATTTCTTCTAGAGTCAAATTATTCACGAAGTGTGTGTTGTCAGCTCCTTCACATTTTCCCATGAGATCAGCTTTTCAGCTGGGTCATGTTGGTTCCTCTTTATTCTTCTTCAATGTCTCTTCCTTTTGAGCGGAGGCTTCTCCAGGTCGATTTTCAGTCACTTGAATCCCGGCTCTCTCTCTTCCATGTCTGATTGCGCATTCAGGCACCCAGATAGGATGGAAAGTACCTTCTGGAAAAATACAAGCATGACCTCTGCCCCACATAATCACTGGATCTGGGCCTTTCCATTGATCATTCTATAAGTCTTTCCACAAAACTCTGCCTAAAGGGCCAGTTGTGGCAGAAGACATATGTCTCTCAGCTGCAGTGTGACATTCTGTGTCACAATTTAAACAATTTAAAAAAAACAAGGCATGGTTGAGGCTATTTTGGGGAATCATAAACCTATTCCCCCCTTTTAATTTTTGTAATTGCAGCTCTCGTTCCACAATGGCTTGACCTTGGAGGTTATAAGGAATTCCTGTTTTGTGGTCAATTTGAAACTCTTGGTAAAATTGTTGAAAAGAAGAGCTCACATAAGCTGGTGCATTATCTGTTTTAATCTGTAAAGGGCAACCTAACACAGCAAAGGCTGCTAGACAGTGAGAAATTACATGTTGAGTATTTTCCTTTGTATGTGCTATGGCAAAAATAAATCTGGAATATGTATCAACTATTACATGTACATAATATTGTTTCCAAATTGAGGAATATGAGTTACATCCATTTGCCATATTTGATTTGGTTTTAATCCATGGGGATTTACCCCTGATGGCTGAGATGGAGTGTTAACAACACACTTAGGGCAGTGACTTACAATTTGATGAGCTTGTTCTCTGGTAATATTAAATTTTTTACATAAGCTAGAAGCATTTTGATTATGTAAAGAATCTGAAGCTTGTGCACAATAATATGGAGACATCTGTTGACAAATGGCTACCAATTTATCAATTTTGTCATTACCTGAAGTTAAAGGTCCTGGAAGATTAGTGTGAGCCCGTATGTGTTCTACGAAACATGGGTGTTTTCACATTTGCACCATCTTTTGTAGATAATGAAATAATTTAAATAGCTCTTGTGATGAGGTATATCCAATAACTGAAGTTTCAATATTTTTGGAAACTCTGACTGCATATAAGCTATCAGAATAAATATTAATAGGCTCATTTGTAAAGTAATTTAAGGCACAAATGAGAGCTTGTAACTCTGCTCTTTGGGCAGAACTATATGAGGTTTGTATCACCTCTGTGTGAACATGGCTATAAAAACCTGCTTTACCTGAACTTGAGCCATCAGTGAACACCGTTAGGACCCCATCTATGGGCTCGGCATGTACAATTTTTGGAAAAATAAGCAGTGCTATTAATGCAAATTGAATAATTTTATCATGAGTGTAAAGACTTTCTATCTGACCAAGAAAATCAGCAAAAGCTATTTGCCATAAACTTGAAGCTTGAAAAAGCCAATTATTTTGTTGAATAGAAAATGGAATAATTATAATATCAGGTTCAGATCCAATTAATTGTAAAACTCTTGTTCTACCTTTAATTACTAATTGAGCAATAGAGTCATAAAAAGGAATTAATGTCTTTTGGGGAGAGTGGGCTAAATGAATCCACTCAATGACTTCCAATCTTTGCCATATGGCTCCTGTAGGGGCATGAGCAGTTGGAAATATTAATAAATATACTAGCTCTTGAGGATTAATTCTGGTAAGCTGTGCATTTTTAATTACACTTTCAACCTTTTTTAAAGCTTCTCTAGCCTCTATTGTCAGCTGATGAGGAGAGGTTGGAGAAGGATCTCCTTGTAATATCTGGAATAAAGGATTTAAATCAGAAGTAGTTAGTTTTAAGGATGGCCTCAGCCAATTGATATCTCCTAATAGTTTTTGAAAATCATTAAGGGTATGTAACTTCTTAACTTTTATGTGTAGATTTTGTGGACATATTGTATATCCTTGAATTATTTGACCCAAATATTGAAAGGGAGGCATCTTTTGTATCTTTTGAGGAGCAATACAAAAACCCATTGCTGTAAGTGAAGCCTCTAACTGAGTAAAATTTTCTGAAAGTACTTCTGGATTAGCATGAGCCAATAATATATCATCCATAAAATGAATAATATATGCATCAGGAAAGTTATTTCTTATAGGAGCTATCACTTGACCCACAATTTTTTTTTTACATAAAGTAGGACTATTACACATCCCTTGAGGCAAAACCTTCCAGCAATATCTTTTAACAGGTTTTAAAAATTAATTTCTGGGACACTGAAAGCAAATTTTTCACTATCCTCATGATGTAACCTTATTGAGAAAAAATAATCTTTTAGATCTATTACCATTAACCTATAATTTAAATGAATTGCTCTGGG